TGGACGTTGACATTTACGAAGATTAAGTCCAAGTAAGTCCAAGTAAGTACCCCATAAATGATTAGCTTTGCAGTGCTGTATAATCAAATTTCTTAATATGAAATGCATAGGGATCTCAGGAAGTGGGTCAGGGAATCTGATTTTTTTAGATCATGTTGTATGTCTCACAGTATTCTTTCTGGATTCGTTACGGGAGATCACAATTCTACAGCTTAGCACACCTGACTGCATAGTTGATAACTGTATTTAAAGCACTTGGGTTATTTTCTGTATTTTATTGCAATTCTCATTTCTTGCTATTGCATGATCACTTTTATACATCAATAAACTAGCTTTCGGTAGTGATTCGTTTTCATAAAACCAGTCAAAAAACAGCCTAACATAGATAAGGTACACAAACACAAACAAAAGCACTCATGTAATCCAGAATAGCAAAAACGACAACTGAACACAACATACAAGTTGGGAATGGGGAAAATATTGTACTCTCCTCCCCTTTCCTGCTAGTAGTGTTGTCTCATGAGTTCCAAATACTGATACGAAAAATATCTAATCAAGTACCACCACTTTGTTAGTCCCATAGAGAAGGATATCTTAATTTAAATTCAAATTGCATGATATTACTTGGGGGAAGCAGGGTACATATGACACTCAAGGAACTGATGGTCAGCTAATTTGAAGAAGCAAAGGCTAAAGGAGTCAGTGAGCTCCAGCCAGCTAATTTGTGGTGACCATGAGAAGGCTTAAGAGTACTTCATGGATCATCACAGATCTGCTTGAGAATCACTGGTATACAGGTAGACCTTGATGTACAACCACATTTGAGTCTAGTATTTCTGCTGCTAAGTTAAACATTTGTTAAGTGAATTTTGCCCTGTTTTACGACTTTTCTTGCCACAGTTCTTAAGTGAATCACTGCAGTTATGAACATGGTGGTTAAGTGAATCTGTCTTCCCCATTGACTTTGTTCGTCAGGAGGTCACAAGGTGATCACGTGAGCCCAGGACATTGCAACTGTCATAAATATGAGTCAGCTGCCAAATGTCTGAATTTGGTCCATGGAGATGCTGCAACAGTTGTAAGTATGAAAAACGGTGATAAGTTACTTTTTTCAGTGTGAACCGTTGAACAGTTACTAAATGAACTGTTGTTAAGTCAAGGACTAAAACGAAAGGTATCAGTTTAGAGAAGTCTGTCTAAGGCAGGGGTACCAAACTGGCAGCCCGCAGGTCTGACGCATCACATACAGGCCACACCCACCCCAAATCCGCAAAGGGGAAAAGCATTACGATACATCATGTGACAGCAATGTGACGCCCACGAGTTTGACACCCGACATCTATGCCATAATATTTATATTCTACATTTCAATATACACAGTGTTGTTGTTACAGAACTTTGTCCCCCCTTATGAGATTATTAAATTTATATACTGCCCATCTCACTATCAAGCAACAGGAGGCATATATACAATGACATAAATTATCTACAGAAAAACTAATTCATGGCCTGTATGTTATAATTCTTTGAATCACTAGTACCAGACACAGAATCAGCATTATAAATACGTTTCTTATAGAACATATAACCCAAGCTAAGTAAAAGAAATATTGTAGAGATATTCCATAACAGCAATATAAAGAATTATCCCCAAGATCTATTCAAACAAAAGCCGAAAACACTAATGGGATCATAGTGGCACACAGCAGCTGTTAGAAGAAGCTAATTAAACATTCCAAATTCTCAGTTCTGAACATACTCACACACCAGGGATTTTAATACTATTCCAAGTAATTATGATACTGGAACATTCTTAGTAAAATCCAGCTTGTCTAATAGTATGTTCAAAATAAAAGTCCCAGGAGCAGCATTTTAGGTTTTACATACCTCTTAAGAGAACCACTTGCTAAATAAGAATCAGGAGAAAAGCTTTTTCCTTCACTTTTCAGGTCTGAGGCACAGGAGAAAGAAAGAACTCGGGAGTAATGGCCTTCTATTTCCATTGCGGCCTCTAAGCTGTCAGTAAGCGAAGAAGGCACGGAGTGAGTGCTGGAGTCATCATCCATTGTTCACACTTCTCCCTGGGAAAATAAAAACATGCAGCATACATTTTTCTTTTTCTGAATTATCAGAACTAAATCTTACCTATTAAAGCAGAAAGTGATAGATTTCCCACAAGGACTTAGAAATATGTCAAGGCACAATAAGTTTTCAAATCAGCTGAGCATCCGAATACATCAGAATCCCAAAACTATCAACTAAATTCATTCTGTCAGCTCAAACATAACATTAAACTAGCTGTAGATTAATATTTACAGTTGTTTTCCAGATGTATTGCAGTAGAAATCTCATCATTCACAACCAATTATCAAGTTAGCTGGGTAATGGAGGTTATAGTACAACATACTGCATCTTGCTGGGGAAACCAAATAAACAGCAGTCATAATAATTATAAGATTGATGCTGAGCACTTATGTGTTTCCTTCTTTTCTTTGTACATAGCTATGAGACTATGAGCATTTACTTCCTTTTTAATTAATCAGTAGAGCATCAATTCACAGTTTACATATTTTGTCACGCCACTGTGCAGCTTTTGTTTGTCCTTTGAGATTAGTGTGATTTTTATTCAATTTATCTCCTGACTTTCTACCATAATGAATAAATTTAGAGCCCAGTCAATTTTACCTTAAATCAACTATGATTCAACAAGCCAGTCCTTAATGTATGAACTAGATCAGTAAATCCAAGAGATGCAAGGGTTTCTTTTCTTCATGATGCCATAATTCAATAGATATTTACATCATGTTACTGAGGTACAGTAAATATGACATTCTGAGGAGGAGTTCCTGGAATGTCTCCATTATCGGAGATTATGATAAAGTAGCTTACAAAAAAGTAGGTTTCCTTAGTGGTTCTTCAATAAGTTTTGCCAGATTCCCACCTGTCTTTTCTGTATCCAGGAGACCCTTCAATTTTTCTCAGGTTTTTTCATTACAAATTTAATCTTGGCGATACATTTTCCTCTATTCTTGGGATTATTACCTATTAATTTCTTATGAATTTTTAAAATTTGCCCTTTAATTTTATTCTTTCTTTTGGAAATCTCAAACTACTTTAATAAATGCATAAATAATAATTAGCTTATCATGATTCTGCTTTTGTAAATTTGAACAAAATATAATAGTCCTAAAAATATTTTCCACTAAGGATGTACTGTACATATAGAAGAAGTGGCATTAGTTTTTAGGGGGGGACAGCAATTCTAAGTGAACTTGCAAATGGAATTAAAAGACAAATCTTCTACCAGTTCCATCTTATGCTGATTTTCCACAGTCAGTTTAAGTGAAATTCCAGCATGAAAGGGATAAGGGACAGTTGGGGTACCCTTGCTTTTGTTTCAATTGTCTGTTCATATTTCCTTTCTCAATTTATTTTAATCAGAACAAAAACCGTTACATAGACTTCAAACTGATATACTCTTATTCTGGAATCTTTCTATGCAGAGACTCTATGACATTGAAAACCCAGTTGGTGTGCCTTTTAACAACTAGAAATTTCAGATTCATAGATGTAGCTGCCTACCTTCATTGACATAGGATTTCAGCTCAGGTGTCAGTTCAAAGCCCAAGAGCCAGACTACTACTATATGTACTAACAATTATTATTTGATAGGTCAGACACATTTGTACTAGAGTGTCTCTGTACCAGAACAAAATACATATTTGATTAGAAAAGCATATTCATATCTTTGCTAATTCTTCTTGCTCCATGGCAAAAGCAACAAAAAATACCTCTAGATATTTTATTAAAACTATCCCCTTCAATTTAAATGTGTCTTAAATTGGGTAGATTGTAAGATGATTCACAATTTGATACTGCTAACAGTGAACACTTATATGGCCTTTTATTATTTAAGAAAACAGAAAAGTGTTATGTTAAAAATGAAATCCATTTAAGTAACTTTGAACAGTGAGTGACTTTCAGTACTATTGTAATGCCCTCTAAATTCCCAGTCAGCATAGCTGTTGCAAGAAAGTATGGGAAATGAAGTCCAAAGCAAGGTAATTTTTCTCCTTGTTTATATGCAGAGATTAATCTAAGTTTCAGATTACAGACCCTATATTTTGAGCCATGATTCTATACAATATATCTATAAAGAAATACTCCATACTCAATACAGAAATTCCCAGGAAATGTATTTTGGTGAATATTAACCAATAATCATCAAAGACTGGTTGTTAATCTGAGGTTTTTGAAAGTGGAAACTGCCAGGAGGTTAGACTTCCCAAAAGATGGAGACAATCTATCACACTTTTGTCCACCCTGATGTATACAGGTAGACCTCGACTTACAACCACAACTGAGTTCAAAATTTATGATGGTAAGGAAGACATTTGTTAAAAAAAAATGCACCATTTTACAACCTTTTTTTGCCACAGTTGTCAAGTGAATTTGGTTTACTCACTGACTTTGCTTGTCAGAAGGTTGCAAAAAATGATCACATGATCCTGGGACACTGCAACCATCATTAAATGGTTGGAGATTCTCAGTCATCAGGGTCATGGTTGTTCCAAAGCTGTTTTTTTTCAAGAGGCAACTGAACTTTCTTATTTTTCTTTGAAGACATTTCCTTTCTCATCCAAGAAGTTTCTTCAGCTCTGACCAGATGGTGGGGAACGGAGTCAGAGCTGAAGAAGCTTCTTGGATGAGAAGCGAAAAGTCTTCAAAGAAAAACCAGACAGTCAGATTGCCTCTTGAAAAAATACCTTTTGGACAACCATAATAAATGTGAGTCAGTTGCCAACTGTCTGAATTTTGACTGCATGACCATTGGGATGCTGCAACGGTCATAAGTGTGAAAAATGGTCATCAGTCACTTCTTTTCAGTGATGTTGTAACTTTGAACGGTCCCTAACTGAACTGTTGTAAAGTCAAGGATTTAGCTGTACTGATGCACAGGATTCCCACTCCCGTAACCGCTAGTCATTATTTCCTCATGTGAATCGTGAGTCACAGAACTTGTAGTCCAAGACAATTGAAGGGAAAATAATACATACTCCATAAAACAGCAAACAAGAAATCGGGGCTGCAAATAATCGCTGGCTGCATGGACAAATCCCGAAACTCGCTTTAGAAGCCAGACATGCAAAACGAAAGTACCTGGGACAAAACCGCGCGCCTTCTAACCTGCTCACAGGCTAATAGGTCAGGGGCGTAGGTTGCACAATGCCGACCCTTTCCCACCATCACACTTTCTTCCGCGAAATAAACTGCTGCGGAATATCCCGCCGCCGCAGCAGCAGCAGCTCCGTAATTCCCGCGCGGAACCGGCCCCGCGCTATTGCGCGTGCTCAGAGGAAGAAGGGGCATTATGACGTATCGCGTTCTCACTGGACAGAGGAGCTTCCATTCAGAAGCTTTCCCCTTTTTCTCGCTCCGGGGGCGTCTTCCGCCTGTGGGAGTTTCCGAGTGGAGGCGGTCGCGGGGTGAAGACTCGGCTGACCCGCTGGGTTACTTTTGAAACTTCGCGAGATGCTCTTTCCCTCCGCTGATCAGTCCTCGAAGAAAGGATTTCTCGGTTTTCACGCTAGAGAGAATTGCGGTCGGCTGGTGATCAGTTGCGATCCCAGCCGGTTTGCTAAGTTAGTAAGAACGTGTGAATCCCAGCAGTTAGATTAGTTCACTTCATACGAACACAGAGCTAAGTTTATCCAGCTTTACACTATTCGCTCAAAGTAGAAATCATAGGTAGGGTTGATGCTTCGGGCTACAGGCAGTCCTCGACTTAGGACCACGGTTGAGCCCAGTCTTTATGTTGCTAAGTGAGAACTCTGTGAAGGGGGGGGTTGCCCCATTGTAGGACTTTACTTGCCACGGTTGTTAAGAGAATCGCCACAGTTGTAAAATTAATAACACGGTTTGTTAAGTGTTTCCCCATTGAATTTGCTTGTCAGGAGATAGCGAAATATGATCACATGACCCCGGGACACCGCAACCGTCATAACTGTGAACCACTGTCAAACATTTGAATGCAATTCATGTGACCATGGGGATGCTGCAATGGTCGTAAGTGTGAAAAATGGTCATAAGTCACTTTTTTTAGTTGCGTTGAACTATCAATAAGTGAATTGTTGTAAGTCAAGGACTGCCTGTATGCATATTGAGCTGATCTTAGTACAGGTAGTCCTCAATATTTATTTAGTGACCAAAGCAACTAGCTCTTCTGAAAAACTGGTAAAAAATTCTGTAAACTTTCAAGCTGCAATTATCCTGATACACTGAAAACATCTATAGAAGGTTGAACAGGTTAAGAGATTGCATTTATGCCTTTTGCTACAAGTCTTAATGTGGATTATTTGATTTTAGTTTATTGTGGTTTATAAACAACCCTGGTTTGGGACAAAATGCATGTCTTTTCAAATTGTGTTCTGAGAACTTGATGGGGCTCTTTGACATTTTAACAGAAAGTTCATTCAAAAGCTAGCCAATTTGCTATCGAGTTTTCTCTTTTCATTATGGCTTCTAGGAATTTGAATGTGTTAACTGATTGGCTCCACAATCTAAAAAGTTGGAAGGCCTCTACCATGATGTGTGGCCCAAGCCAACTGATTTAATTTAATAAAACTATCTTTAGTTCAGGGGTATTAAACTCAAGACCTGGGGGCTAGATACGGGGTGCTTAGAACTGGCTTGCAGGGCTACCTTGGAACAGCGAAGAACCGGCCCATAGTGCCTCTGTCAGTGAAAATGGAGCTTGGGAGGGCTGTGTGTGGCCCTCGAGCTCAGTTTTTGCTGGCAGAGGATAGCAGGAGGCCTTTGCAGCCAAAATGGAGCTTGGGAGTCCGTTTTCACTGGCAGAGTGCTCGGACCACCAAAGTGCCCCTGACACAAGTGACGTTGAGCTGGCCAGTGACGTGCGGTGAAGCTTCTTGCTGGTGAGGCAAAAAGAAACAAAACTTCCCCCCCCCCCCCCCGCCCGCAGCAGGCTGGAGCGAGAGCCGCGGTCTCCCAGCTAGCAGCCCCAGGAGGAAACGACGAAGAG